GTTTTGGAGCCCGCGGAGCGCTTTTCGTCCGACGACGCTGTTAGAAGATTTGTTTGTCTCGCTGTAAGGACTCCGAACCCTATTTCTGTTTTCAAAGATGTTGTGTTTTGACCGAGTTATGAATTGTTTTGTGTTTTCGTAGTCGACTTTTCGACGTGATTTGGATTTGACACATCTTTCACCGCACAACTTTTAGTATGTTATAGATATGAATATTGTACACGATTTGAGTATTTTCTACGATGATTTTACCGGTCGGAATTGGTTCTACGCGATTTTAATCGAATAGAAAAATATCAGGATGTTTATTGATACTGATTCAGTAGAAGAATAGTCTTATATTGTTCTCGTGAACGTTCTATTGTAATTTGGTGAATTATGATTTTGCAGGATTTTTGTGTAAATTTGATAGACTGCCGTTACTCTGCCCGATTTTCGTACGATTTCTGATTTTCCCGAAATTGATAGATTAGATTGATATGCTATTGATTATTGATATGATTATTGATATGATTGCTTTACTATTGACTATTGAATTGCTTATTGATTGAATTGACTATTGATACTGATCACAAGTGGAACCTGGTTGAACATTGGTTGAAGATTGATTGATACCTGTACAGGATGGTGGGCCGACGGGCTTTCCTTTAAACATTGATTATTGATATGGATGGGAGTCATAAGGAGTTTATTGATATGCCGACGGGCGAAAAGAGTGACGACTCTTATTGATAGAACCAATGTGTATGGATATCTACAACAGCAACATAGCCAGTTGATTTTACTTGTTCAGTATATAGTATTGAAATGCATGTTTACTGTATTGACTTACGGATCTATTGCTTTATCGATTTCTGCTTTATTGATTTGATTGGATTTACTGTATCGTACGATTTCATTGATTTTATCGATTGATTACCGAGCATTGATACTACTGAGCATTGATATTGATATGGATGGATATAGATATCGCATTGATTCATTGATGCTATGGATATGGATATTATAGATTTATTGATACTGCTTATAGACTCATTGATACTATTGATTCTGCATTGTATTGATTGCTACATTTGAATTATTGATAGGATATCGTATTGCTTTCCGATTGATTTTATCGACTTGATAGTATAGATTATATTTGATTTGATTTGACGGATTGATTTGACGGACGGATTGACTGATATGATGGATCGATTGATTTTCTACTGTGTACGGATTTCTTCGAGATTGACGTGGATTGATTGAGCTTGGTTTATTGATTTGCTTGCTGCTGCATTGACTGGTTTTATTGACTATTGATTTCCGGACTGCATAGACTCATTGACCATTGACTGATTCAGATTGATAGATTGACATGCATATTGATAGCATCGCCGTGCTTTGATTTCAGTTGTAGGCTTTGGTGACCTGCTGGGCTTTGTAAAGCTCATTATATGTGGTTGATATTTTCAGGTCCGAGCAAGGCAACTGGAATGGAGTTCGATCAGAATGTCAGACGAATCCTTTCACTATTGATATCTGGGGCGCCACAATTTCTCCATCAAACCACTTAATAAATGTATGGCTTCCATAGTAGATCTACCCAGCATGAATCCAAATTGATTTTGAGAAACATTAGTATCACGCCGCAACCTATGCTCCATAACTCGCTCCCATAGTTTTAAAATATGACACATTAACTTAATTCCTCTATAATTCGCACAATCTTGTGCATCACCTTTATTCTTAAAAATAAGAATTAACCCACTCATTCTCCACTCATCTGGCATCTTTTTAGTCTTCAAAATAGTATTAAAAAGTTTAGTAAGCCAAGAAATACCTTCATCCCCTAAGCATTTCCACACCTCTATTAGAATATCATCAGGTCCAACAGCTTTTCCACAATTTATTTTTTTAAAGCCTCTCTAACTTTGATTTTACTAATACGTCGATAAAAATAGAAATCTATATTTTCATTTAGGGTGTTAAGGTCACTATAGTCAATCTTATTTTCACAATTTTCATTAAAAAGTTTAGCATAATATCTTAACCACCTTTGTTGAATATCATCTTCTAAGAAAAGTATTTTTTGATCTTCATCCTTAATACACTTGAACTAAATCCTTACTACTCCTATCTTTTTGTTTGGCTAACTTATACATATATCTTTCTCACTCCTTAGTATCTAATCTATTATATAAATCACTAAAAACTAAGATCTGTGCATTACATATTGCTTTCTTAGATTCCTTACGAGCCTCTTTATATCTTTCCCAATTATAAGAATTTTTAAAGTTAAATCAATTTTTATAACAAATCTTCTAATTCTTAATTTTTTTTTTTTGCACATTTGAATTCCACCACCAACTATTTTTACTATCAGGAGCTTTTCCCTTTTATACTCCAAGAACATATTTTGCAATATTCTTAATATCACTAACCACTTTATCCCACATAATATTAGCATCCTTATGCACAGATAAAATCTTAAGATCTAAAATCTTACTCTAAAAAATATTTTTATTAATATTCTTTAAATGCCTCCATCTAATCCTAGAATATCATTTTTCTTTATTTTTTATTATCTGTCCATTTATCTTAAAGTCCAAAACTAATAATCGATGTTGGGTACATAAATTTTAACTCAAAATAATTTTACAATCTTTGCAATCTAATCGATCTAATTTTCTTATAAGAAAATAGTCAATCTGGGTTGTATACATTCATGTTTATAAGTGATGAGATGCTCATTCATTTTCTTAAATAAGGTATTAGCAATTGAAAAATCATAAGCTAAACAAAAATCTAAAATAGTCTTGTAACATTCATTTGTTGTTCCAAAATCATAGCCACCATGAATGCTTTTAAAATCATCTACCTCTCTACCAACATGTCCATTTAAATCTCCTATAATAAAAACTCTTTCTTCTAGAGGTATATTTTGTAATAATTCTTCTAAGTCATTCCAAAAATTTTATTTCGAACTCATATCTAAACCTACTTGAGGAGCATAAGCACTTATAATATTAACAATCTTATCATCAACAATAATCTTTAAAGCTATAATTCTATCTCCAATCCTATTAATTTTTATAACATTATCCTTCAAACTCTTATCTATAATAACACCTACACCATTTCTAGTACGACTCTTACCCGAATACCGAAGTTTAAATCATAAACTATCAATTTCCTTAGCCTTCTCTCTAATCCATTTATTTTCCTGAATGCACAAAATATTTATATTCCTATGAATCATAATATATATCTATTAAATCCATTAATTTTTCAGTAAGGGGACATATATTCCAAGTTCATATCCTAATTTTAGTTTCATGAACTAGCTTCTTTGCCCGCATCCGTCCTTGATGTGGGAACTCTTGCCTATTTAACACTGCACCCGGGCGCCGGTGCAGCGGCCCTTGCTCACTTATCACTGTATTCAGGCCATACATCACGTCGCTTCTAGAGGACGCCCTAGCATTAACATAATTTCTTAAATGATTCATGTCATTATTATTTGACAAGTTTTACGCTAGCTATCGACTACCTAATGCAACCATCCACTTTTCTCATCCAGGACTTGGGACCTGTCAATGGAAGTGTTAAAAACTTCGTGTATGAGAAAAGATTAAAATTCCACATGTTCACATTTTATTGAATTCCATACATATCTCATAAGAGATCTTCTTACTTGTTGCAATTTTACTTAAAAGGCTTTGTTATGTTTATTTTTAAGATTTCACTCATTATTTCTATTTGACCAATACTTTTATGGTGCTTTCAAAAAAAATAAATAAATTATGAAGCTGTTTTTTTTATTACAACTTAAAAAAATTATTTTATCTACAACAATATTACAAATTAATAAGAAAGTTATCCTAAACCAAGCCTAAGGATCCATTCAGGACAATTACTATCTTTTGTAAAAGTAGTTATAAAGATATTGTGAGAAATTTAACTTTTTTGTTAACCTATAAAAAATAGTTTCTAAGACATAATATTTTTTAAAGTAAAACAAAAATAATTGCTAAACATAAATTGTGGCTCCAATTTGAAAAAAAAAAAGGTAAGAAGCTTAGATTTTGTTTGAGACAATATTTTTTTTTAATGTTTTAAAATGAAGTTTTGATACAAATATATTTTTTAACTAAAAACATTTAGACTAAAAAATAACATCTAAAAACAATAAAAAACTGTCCCAAATCAAGCCCTGCTCTCATTTTATCCAAAGAAAAAAATTAATGAAGTAACCAATATGTGTGAAGAATAAAAGAATAATTAAATAAAATAATTAGTGATGTACAAGTCATTGATTATCTATCCATCTCGAATAAGGTGTTTCTGAATCTAATTTCATCAGAATAGCTTTCCGGCAAACTCTTCAATGTCCTCATCTTCATAAGAAGGAGATGAATAGGAACCCATTCTTCTGAGCTCAGACAGACTCCTTCCAAGCTCCAACGCCATCTTCACTTCAAAGACCTCTCCCTGTTCCCTCATCTCCTCCTCCTCCCCCAAGTTATACTCAATCTCCTCCTCCAACCTCCTATAGAATCCAGCACAGTTCCTAAACAGCTCGAACACCATCCCCACCTGCCCCCCGTGCTCCAGTGTGTTCACCACTGCCGCCAACGCTCCCCCAACCACCGCCGGCCACGAACCATGTGCACCGCCGCCTATGGAACTAGCAGCTCCGACCGCGGCAACTCCGGCGAGCAGAGGGCCGGCGAAAGATAAGAACTTGTTGATGCTAAGAACCAGTTGTCCAAGCCTTACGTACTGCTCCTCATCCTTGGATTTCAGCACTCTCAAAACTCCCCTCATCTCCTTTTCCATCTCACTGCTCCACCCATTCCTAGCAACTCCTTGCTTCCTTTGTGGTTTCTTCTGCTTCGGCCACCATTTGGTGGGCTCGACTACTTTGGGAAATTTTTCGAGCATTCCCGGGAGCAGAGGAAGCGGGTAGGCCTTTTGCAGCGCGAGAACCTTCTCCATGGCTTCTTCCACGTCGGATTCACTTGGAGTACTGGCTCCCAAGCTTCGGATTGATCTTTCCAGCTGCTTGAAGAGTCGGGCGGCGTTCCGCTGCTCCTCTGCAAGCTGCGAAGGCTGGATCTTGTTGACGAGAAGCATCAGTCCGGCAGCTGAAGTGAAGAGGACGGCGGAGGAGAGGTTGAGGGGTTGGGATGCTGCTATTTCAGGGATGGAGGCGATCGCAGCCATGAGAGAGGCGGTGAGGTTGATGGAATTGATAGAATGGAGGAAGAGGTGGTTCCAATTGTTGCGCTGCTCGCCGATGATGGCATGCATTTCTGCGCGGTCTGCGGCGGCCTCGGCGATGGCAAGAAGCTTGGCAGTGATTAAGCTGTTGTTCTGCTCTTCCTTGTGAGCAACCAACCTGTTCCTCTTGATGGTCGACTGTTCTGTTAGCATGGCAAGTTCTTCAAATGGGATGAGAGATTGAAGTTTTGGAAGAGATTGAAGGCTTGCTCGCCATCTTCCACGGCACGGCGGGAGCCGCGACGGTATAAAGCATGAAGGTTGAAGAAGGCAGTGGGTCTGTAGTGCGGCCATCTTAATTCTTGCTAAGATCTTTCGGTGGCCTGGTTTCTCTCTTCTGCTGAAGTTCAACAAATCTTTGGTTTTGATCTGTATATTTGATGTTTGGATGGGGGGTTGGGTATTTATAGAAAGAATACAAGCAGGAAGGAGGGGCAGAGAAGTGTCAACGCAGACTTGGTCGAGATGTTTGAATTACAATCCTTGAAAGTGTCAATGTTGAAGAGGACCCGCCATCATCGTATAGTAATTAGTTACGATCGGAAAGAGTCAGATAATAAACGGTCAGCCGATCAAAGGTATGACTTTGGAGGCTTCCTCCTTCAGCAGTCATGTAGCTCCCAAATAATAAATTAATTTATTATTGGAATAATAAGATTTTAGGGTCATGTTTGGGTTTGATCTGAAATTGGCCCCTTCTTCAACTAATCTAATTCGAACCTGGCCTGATTAGAAAAGTTAGTCAGGAATTCGGACCATGACTTGACCCGTTAACTCGGGTTGTGAGTAGGCTGTAGGCAAGCGAGGGAGTGGGCTGCTGGTGGTGGTGCAATCATGTGGGCTATAAGCGTGCACCACGGGCAATGTGAGCGTGAGCGATGCGAGCACGATTTTCTTACTTGTGTGGGTGTTGGAAGGTGGATGCGTAACAGGAACTTTGGTCAGATCTAGGTCGAATTTAGATTAGTAGGTTGACCTACACCCGACCCAAAATTTCAAATGAGCCATAAATTGGAACCATAAAACTACCCATTTGTTAAATTGGTTATGTTATCATTGAAATATAATATAGGCTTGATGTGTCGGGTACGAATCTTGATGCAATTATAAATAAAATTTTTCAAAATTAAGTTCGATGCCATTCAAACTCCAATTTGAGGAAGCTTATAGTCAAATTGAACATCCTAATGAGATAAACCTAATGACACAAAATTAAGTCCAATCGGAGCACAAATGAGCCTAAACTAAAGGATCAAAATATTCTTGGAAGCTTCAAAACATCAATTGGATGATAAAATGAAATCAAATATGCACGCTTATAGTCGAATTGAGTGGCTTGACTAGACGAATTCAATGAGCCCAAGATCATTGAATTCCGATATCATGAAGAGAAATAAATGTTTAAATAATGTTTCATGATCAAGAGAATTTATATAAGTTGTCCGATAGAACACTCAAAATTTAATCTAGATCTTTTTCATATTTACTAAGTACGCCACTTTGAAAAATCTATAGATAGGCCCCCACATTATTCACATGAAAGGGGTAGAGGAAGAAGAGCAGATTTCTTGAACTAGAATAATCCTGGAGATCCATCCCGACACAACTGTCGATGAATCAACGCCACCCTGACATGACTGCTGACAAATCCAATGAGCCCAAGATCACTGAATTCCACTGTCATTATGTGATATAAACGTTTAAAGAATGTTCCATGATCGAGGAAATTTATATCAGTCGTCCGATAGAATATTCCAAATTTAATCTAGTTCTTTTCAATATTTACTAAGCATGCCACTTCAAAAAAATCTATAAATAGGCCCACATTATTCACATGAAAGGAGTGGATGAAGTAGAGAAGATTTCAAGAAAAAGAGAATCCTGGAGATCATCAACGCCACCAAATCATTGCTATTGGACCTGTGCCCGAGCTTTGACGTTGGATCTGTCACGCCCCAAGATCTAACTTGGAAAGAATGTCAATCAATTTTTCAAAATAATTTACCAGAGTTATCTAAAACCTTCAATTAAGAAATTTCAATGAAAAAGGCCTTTAGGACAAAACCTTTGGACCTTGGAATTGGCTTGATTGACCTTAGATCTAGGTAGATCCTAAGGTCTGAATAGATCTTAAAGTTAGGAATCTAGAAGGATCCTAGAGCCTAAGAAATTCCTAGAACTTGGAGTCTAGAAGAAGTTTAGGATCTAGAGTAGCTCCTAAGGTTTAAGCTCTAGAAGAATCCTAGCATAGATCCTAAGGTCAGGATTCTAGGAGGATTTTAGAATTTAAATTAATTTGGAAATTAAATTGATTTAAGGTCAAGAGTAGTCCAAGTGACCTCATACAAAAATGAGGTCAACGCTGTCACCACTCTATTGTGGTTTCTCCCATCATCGTCGCTTGTTAATTGTGATCCCTTCGACAATTATTGCTCGACTACGATCCTTCTATCTTCCGTTGCCCGTCGACTATGTGACATCGAATCAGAGGGGGCTCAGCAAATCCACGTCGACGATCCATTGACCGTGGCCAATCAAGTCTCCAAGAACTCCTTGGGACAAGAATTCACCACCTAAAATTAATCTCAGGATACATGAATCAAAGTAACATGGAAAATGCCTTTAATGATCTCTAAAATATGCATATTATAAGTATTGGCTTGACAAATGTAGCAACATAATAGGCTAAACCAAACAAAAGGAACATTGTATATCTATAGCCATACTAACAACTAAATTGAATTAAATTATCCTGAAGTTTAACTGGATTAATCAGCTCATATCCAACATCATACTACCGGGGTAGGAGGAACTTCAGGCTCATAGGAAGATGCCCGGTAGGCCACAATATGGAGGCGGGTTTGATTGGCTGAACTAGTCTGGATAGATCAACTTGATGTCAAATTGTCTACTAATCTTCAACATCTAAAGTTTAGCACAAGTGAACAGACCATTTGTGATTGTGAAATTATTTGGAATCATTTGTGTTTCTTTCAGCATCCTAGAGAAGTAGATAGAAGTTTCAATATCGAAACCATTGGGGATATATTGAATTGCATTTTTTTGTCAGTGATGACGAACAAGTTTGTTGCCTTGTTGTGAACACTATGAGTGAATAGTTAATGATGGACATCCGGCTCGCTTTGATAATCATCATACAAAGGCTTATTAACATCAAGAACTCCCAAGAACATGTCGTTATCATCATGCATGTCAAACACGAGTTCATTATAGAAAGACCAAGTCGACGAGTTCGGAAATAGATCTTCAAAATCTTCGAAGCTAAACTCGATTGAGGGAGTTAGACCTGATGCTCGTTCTTCCGGTTTCTAATCATAGAGGCTTTCATTTTTCTTTGTGGCGAGCTTCCGAACACCAAGTCCCTCAAATTTTCCACCTTTATTTGAGCCAATGGGTTTCTTAATAACTACTGAATGAGTAGGAGCTCTAGGAGAATGAACAGTATCAACAATCACATGTTTTTCATTCGATTTATCCTTGCGTTTTTTATTATGAAAAAATCAGATCAGAAAGCCATCAAAGTCTCGACCGAGGGTGCTCCAATCTGTCCTTCGTTCAAGCTATGACAATCGTCATTTGAGTTGAATAATTTCATGTTGAAGATCTTCAATTTCTACATCTTGAAGTGGTCCCTGCAACATCCATCGAGAAGGCATCTTGTTTTGTCCTTCAAGAAAAGAAATTAGTTTGGAGAAGAAGATATTCGATGGCAGTTCCATGGGGCTAAAGATCTCTTTCAAGAACCACACCAATCTTGAGGATGTCGGGAAAGAGGACTACTTCTGCCGTTTTGAGTACATGTCCTCTATTGGTGGTTTCCCTCCTGATCATGTATTTGGGTACTCCCAGTGCAAGATGCCTTATAATCCAAATGACCTCATGGTGTAGTGTGAAGCATGCAAGGAAGATCTGGAACCAAATTTGTAAAATCTAGTCAAGAATGCAAGAGGATTTGAAACCTAAAAGGCAAGAAGTCAGAAAGAGGATGCTGATGAAAGATGATAAAATGATTATGTTAAGAAGGAAAGAGGAGAGTGGTTTGTAATTGCGATCCGACCACCAATAGACGATAAAATCATGTCAAAAATGTCAGCATCTTGCCAGCTCTGATACCAAATGACACCAGACTGGTGGGGGATCGACGAATCCACGTTGACGATCCGATGATCATGGCCGCACAAGTCTCCAAAAACTCCTTGGGACAAGAATCCACCGCCTGAAATTAATCTCAGGATACAAGAATCAAAGTAACATGGCAAAAGCCTTTATTAATCTCTAAAATCTACCTATTACAAGTATTGGCTAAGTATTTATAAACAAATATAGCAATATAATAGGCTACACCAAACATAAGGAATGTTGTATATATATAGCCATCCTAACAACTAAATAGAATTAAAACATCCTGAAGTTTAATCAGATTAATTAGCTCAGCTTCGGCGTTACTATGGCCCTTTGACTACCATTGCCTGATTACTGTTCTTTCGACCTCTGTCGCCCGTCGACTATGGTTTCTCCATCCACCATTGCCCGACTACGATCCTTCCGATCATCGTCCTCTGACTACAGTTTTTTGGACCTCCGTCGCTTGCTAACCACTAAAGTCCCTCTGACCACCATCGCTCGACTATGGCCTTTCCGACCTGTGTCGCCTATTGACTACGATCCCTCCAACCACTATCGTCTGACTACGATCATTTCAACCTCTATTGCCCGCCGACAACAACCCCTCTAACCACTCTAATCAGACTACGGTCCTAACAATTAAACGAACATGCCAACACTCTCTTGAGAACAATTGTCTTGTCATTCTCTAACTATGTAATATGCTCTATAAAACACATATTAATTTTATTGAGCGAACACCCTCCTAGGAAATGCATTATTTGTAATGAACCACCAACATTAGTAAAATCATTTCAATTGGGCAATGCCCCATAGTTTTTTTTTTCTGTTTCAGGATTTCCATGTAAAAATTTTGGTGCCATTTATAATTATCGCACTCCCTCTCTTTTATATATGTCTGTGTGTTGGGTCTTCATGTAAAACTAAACCTTATATCTCTCTACGGCCAGGAATGTTGCAGGACTGCAACAAGGCTATATTAATTATTTATATTTAGAAAATATATTAATACATAATGAATACAAAAATAGCATATTTATATTTTAAAATTTAAATAATAATAATGAATACAAAAATTATTTTTTCGTATTTAAAAATTACGAAAAAATAATTTCCATATTAAGAAAATGGAATTCTAATTTCCGTTTTCATGAATGCGACAACTAGATTTCAGTATTAGCCCCTTCTCATAATTATTTTTGCATTACGCATTTACGCTCCTTTAACTGAATCTTTTATTAATTGAGCTCTTTTAAATTGACCTTAACAAAACACCCTATCCTGTCGAAGTTAGGCTTCATTTGGGACGGCTTTCTCACTGCTTCATAAAGCAATTTTTTAGTGCAAAAATTAAAAAAATTATACTAAAAAGCTGCTTTAAGAAGCAGTAAGAAAACAGCCTCAAACGAATCCTTAGACTTGAATGAGGTCTTAAGCTTATGATTTGTTTGATAACAATGTTTTCATAATTTTATTAATTATTATTTTCTTGTTATTTATTGTTACTAAATTTTTGTGGTGAAAAATTATTTTTTATAATCAGAATTATTAAGTTACTTTCCTCAAAAAATTTCACAAACATACTTATAA